CGTTCCCGGTGTCCTCCCTGGCGCCAGGTGTGGGCGCAGTGGCTCCTGGCCGCCGCTGCCCCCAGCCCGGAACTCCCCAGTGCAGACGCTTCGGGGGGCAGCGCTGGGGCTGGGCTTTGCTCCCCTTCTTGGGCCCGAGCTGTGTGCAGGAAGAACTTGTCTGCTCCCCGTAGTGGCTGGAAACTTACCTAGAATCCCTCCCTGACTTTGAAAGCTAAGGAATTTTCATGAAATGGAAAAGCAGGAGCAGGGGTGGGGGACTTGGCTCAGTGGTTACGCCGCATGCCTCGCAAGCGCGAGGGCCGGAGTTCGATCCCAGTACCAAAAAAGACAAAAAGCAGGAGCAGATACGTCCTCTCTCCAGCATTATTGTTTCTGTGCGCAGTGAGTGCTTTATATAAGTGCAGTGGGAAAAAGATTTGACACCCAGATAAAGTGGGTGGAGTTGGATTTTAGGCAGATAGCTTTTTAGTTATGGGGATCAAAGAAGGGGAGAATGGAGCGTGTAAAATTCCACTGGATTGTTAAAGCTTGAAGAGGAAGTAACCTGCAGCCTCAAACCTGCCGGCCGCAGCGGAGGTATTGCTTCTTTTCCGTTTAAGAATAAAGTGTAATGATAAAAAGTACAGTTAATTCGTGCAAGAGGTAAGGTGTGAGAAGGTGTAGGTAGAAATCCTTTACGCCTCCCATCGAGTAAAATGAATCCATTTCTTAATTGACATAATTACAACAGCAAGTAAATTCTTGGCAAACAAGAAGTGCCTTTGGGCAGTCTGTCCTAAGGTTGTTGAGCACATCTTTGTGTGTCTGTTAAACTGAGTCATGATGTGAATTTCTTAATAGCATTTCCGGGCTGGAGATAGGTAACCAACAAATAGACAATATGTATAAACTCAGCCATTTTCCTTCCTGAGTTCTTGAAGAAATGAGCTGTCGGGACCTGAAACCTCTCTGGGGATCACATGTGCATGTTTTAGTCCAGGTCTTTCCAGCTAGCTGTCTTAATTGTTCTGTTATTGAGGGAATTGCAGGCTGATTGGATCTGTGAGATGCTTTGACTTGCAAGGAACTAAATTCACCAGTGGCTCCCTTCCTCACTGCGGTACTAGGAGTTGAACCCAGGGAGTGCTGAGCTACAGCCGCACTCCATTTTTTATACTTTGAGACAGGGTATTGCTAAGTTGCCCAGGATAGCTTCAACTTACTACCCTCCTGCCTCTGCCTCCCAAGTAGCTGGGTTATAGGCATATCGGACTACATCCAGACACCAGTAGCATCTGTGTGAGATTATTCAGGTCTCCACTCAGTATCTCTTAAGTATGTTTTGTGCCAGACACCTGCTGAAAGAGGCCTGTGGCTGTGTCAGACAGAACTTGGCATTTGAATTTGCAACAAGTTGACAAGCATGATACTGAAGGATAAATGGGCGGTTAAAGTGATCCAAGAGATCTGAAAGAAGAGTCTGCTTGGAGAGTCAGGGCCATCAGAAGGGACACAAGTGGTGAGACACCCTGGTAACCTCAGCAGTGGGCATGGGTTGGATGGAGAACATTCAGGGCAGAGACACCAGTGTGTGCAGACCAGGAAGAAACAGTGGTGCCAGAGGGATGGGGGGCAGGGGCAGTTAGTGGGCACACCGCTGTGAAGGGGCTCACTCGGTGCTGGGGTACAGTCCTGAGGACAGAGGGAAGCCCTGGAGGACAGTCGCAGGATCAGATGGTTCTTCACAGGGTGGCCCCAGCCTGCAGTGAAGAGACGTTTGAGTCAGGTGTTCATTCGGGGCTGGAGGCAGGAAGGTAACTGAACTGAACTTGGGGTGGATGCTGAGCAGGGAGTCCACGAGTCTCTGACTGACTGTGTGGATGCAGGGCTGGGAAGGGAGAAGACGTGAGCTGTTGGCTTTGTTAGGAGCACTCTGGTGCCACTCTGTGTGAGAATATGGGCAGAGAAACGATTTTCGGGGGAACATGTTGAGTTTGGCAGATTGAGTTCAAGATGTGTGGATGGAGAAGTTTCAGTACTAAAAGAAAAAAAGTGAGCCTAGAGTTTAGGGACTGGCTGGGCTGGCTGCATAGACGGAGAACTACAGCTTCTTGGTTACTTGAAGTCAGACAGTGGATCAGATCACCTGGGAACAGTGGTGCAGGAAGCCTGAGGGCTCCAGCTGTTACAGGACAGGTGGTGGAGGAGGGCCATGAGGGCCTGCTGGGCAGCAGCCGGAAAGGAGGAGGAAAATCCCATGTTTGGAGGGGAGGGGTGCCTGGAGATCACACCGCAGCCCTGCACCACTGAGCTGCATCCCCAGACCTTTACCTTTTTATTTTGAGACAGGGTCTTGCTCCATTGCCCTGTCTGGCTCAGAAATTGCAGTCCTGCCTCAGCCTCCAAAGTACCTGGGATTAAGCATATGCCACCCCCCTGGCTACTCGCAGACACTCTGGAACCTTGCTGAGAATGTCCACATCACTTACACCATTCTTCAGTCACCTTTACAGAGTTAAAGGGTTACGTTCCTGTTTCAGGAAATGAGTACAGTACTTGAAAGAATTGAGCATCCTAACTGTAAACAATGGCAAAGTCCCCTTTGCATGAGTTTTCCCCAAGCCGAGGCTGCCTCCCAGCCCTTACATAGGAGGGAGGATGGCCAGAGAGGACCTGGAGTCTTCAGAGCCAGGGCCCCATTCTGACCTTACTCGCCCTGCCCTGTCGTGCTGCTCCCCACGGGCCCTCAGTGTCCAGGCCCTGACCAGTGCACAAGGTCCGAGTGAGACTCCTGCAGTTACTCTCCTCGCCAGGTTGTCCTATGCTGCTTTTCCTGTCATAGTCACCAGGACTCTGGGTGTCAGCCTCAGCAGGGCACAAATGAAAAAGATGCAGTCCAGAAGTTTATGAATGAAGTAACATGTAGACAAGATTATGGAGAAAATGACTCAACCCAAAAGTTTTATATTACGATTATGCTCCTTTATTATCTATTTTTGCCTAATTCGTATTTATATTTTAATTAAGCTATTAAATATTTTTTTTAATTGAGTGACTTTGTAACCTGAAGGCCTTGAAAAATCTCCGGGTTTGGAGCCATGGTTTATCAGGATATCTCTGGAAGATGAGTTTTAGCAGCAACTAAATCCATGCAGTTGCATAAACGAGGCCTTATTCTTACAGTTCTTGTCTAGTCAGGGGGTTTCATTTCAGTAAGTTTTTGATAAGCGGGAAGGACTTGCTGTGCAGTCCATCGGGGGCAACACTGGTTTCCTTTGAAAAGCTTTTCGTTGTAATTTTTCCTTTTTAAATGCATCGTGCATTTCTGTTTTTTTTTAAGTACTCATTGTTATTTATCTGTGTGGCCCTTTGACATAGTAGTGAAGGAATTATTCCTAATAGCAAAAAGGCATAAAATGTTAGCAGGGAAATCAGCATAACCCTCCTTCCCTGAGCGCTGTGTCCTTCCCTCACTCTGAGGCCCACTCTGCGCGTCGCGCTTCCTCTGCATGACTTCCAGCCGGCATTCTTGCTGCTGCCACCATGTGTGCTGCCCTTCTCTAGCTCCACCCCTGCTGCCTGCGTCTCCAGCGTGCTCTCGTGAAAGCTGCTCTGTGTCCTCGTCCTGCTCTCCACCCTCCTTCCCCGAGCAGGGACCCAAAACGAGAGCCTTTCCAGGCCCAGCCCTTCATATCACAGAAGGAGCGGCAGCCGACTGGACCTCGGTGCCCCTGACGACCCTCTGCTTGGCGCAGCCGCAGACAGGGAGGGCCTACCCCACCTGGTGGTGAGCGTTCTTGGAGAATTACGGGCACTGGCGCATACGGAATCCCGGCTAGAAAGGGGCTCTCCTCTGCACAGTCTAACTGGGAAGGCACAGGTTGGACCCGCTGCCTTTAGGAGTTTCCTTACACCCTCGCAGGAGAACGACCGGATAGCCCTGTGTGAGTTTGTGCCGAGGCGAGAGCCCTTTGCTCCGAGCAGTGGAGAAGGGCCCGAGTAAGCAGAGGGATGTATGTGTGGAACTCACACGTGTCGCAGAGTTCACATTGTCCTGAGCTTGCCTTTCATTTTGATTTTTCTCAAGACATTGGCTGAGGCATGGACGTGGGAAGGGGGAGACAGGGAGTAGAGTGGACTGTCTCTCAGGTCCGCCTTGTGCTGCCCTGCTGGGTGGGAACAGGTTACCTCGATTGTGCAGCTGCCACTTAAATTCACTCCAGCTTTTCACTGAGAGGTGTGGACTTCCTGCAGGGCTCTGAAGCCACTGGAGGCCTGCCTTGCCCTCACCCGTCACCAGCTTACTTGTTTCAGCCGTTCTCACCTGGTGGCCCCTCCATAATCTAGGCCATCAGTGGAGAACCGTTCAGAGCTTTCAGTGGAAACAAACACCCCTGTGCGGCACACAGGCCATAGGTTCGCCACCACTGATCTAGGCCATCGGAGAGGCTCCCCCTCTTACTAGAGCGGGGTCACCCTGCCTCCATACTCTGGCAGCTCAGCCAACTTTCTGCTCCCGAGCAGCAAACAGGCTGTGCACCCATTGTAGCATCCTCACAGTGGACTTGGCTGTTGTTTGGGTCCTTCAGAAGGTCCTGGAGCCAAGCCAGAGCTTTGTGGTGTGGTTTACCTTAAAGCAGCCTCTTCAAGGAGCGCTAAGAGCTCCAGACCATCATGTTTTTCTGCTGGAGTTTGGTTAGGGCCCTCAGAGTTCTCATAGAGAAAGGAATTTGTTCTCAGCAGGCGCAGCATAGGCTGAGGTGTGTGTCGTATTTAGCAAGAATTATCCTTGAGTTAGGTGGTGTCTGCTCTGACGGCAAATACAAGGTGAAGCCATACGTGCTTAAAGGGGTGCCAATCCCTAAGGCAGGAGGATCACCATGAGTTCGAGGCCAGCCTGGGCTACTGGTGAGTTCAAGGCTAACCTGGACTACATAGTGAGGCCTACAGGTAAATAAATAAATAAGGGGTGCAAATCCTGAGCCGTTGGCTTCTGCCCAGGAAAGGGATGCTTGGAGCCAGGTGTGGGGGTGCATGCCTGTAATCCCAGCACTCAGGAAGGCTGAGGCAGGAGAATCACAAGTTTGAGCCCAACCTGGACAACTTAGTTGAGACCCTGTCTCAAAACATTTCATAAATAAATTAATTAATTAATAAAACATACATTTCAGAAGGAGCTGAAGTTATAGTTCAATCCAAAGGCCTCTGGGGCCAATCCCCAGTAGCTTAAAATAGTAATTTATTGTGCCCTTGTAGTAAATGTAGTATAGTTGTGGCCTTCTCAGTAAAGACCCCCTAAAGATTTTTGCCCAGTCGTAATCCCCAAAGCCTTAAAGGATGGCAAGAGGCAGCCCTGGATTCTCCACATGGGCCTAGTACAATAATGAGGGCACTTGAAGGAGGAAGGCAGGAGGGGCTGAGGGGATGTAAGACAGGTCACATCCGTGTGGCTATGAGCTAGGGGAATCCAGCAGCCTCCAGGAAGAACCATCCTGGCCCACCCAGGTTAGGCTTCTGAACATGAACATTTGTGTAGTTTTAAGTCCCTGAGTTTGGACAACTTGTTACAAGGGCAGTAGGGGGCTAAATGGTAACCAGACTGACCGGAAACGAACAGCCTGCACTGGAGAGCAGGGGTGGTGGGCGGGACAAAGGTCACCTCTAGTGGGATCACTCAGGAGCCAGCTTCGACTGGAAACAGACTGGGAGCACTATACAGAGGGCTGGTGGGGGACACAGGCTTGAGTCAGGGAGTGGGGCCAAACCCCAAATTAGAGCAAGGCCTCTTGACACTACATAGACATAAGTTTAAGAAAAGTGAAATAAGTTGTTCTAGGCAGCAAGAAGTTTCTAGAACCCATTCCTTTAGGAGGCGATGCAAACAATTAGATTTGGAGTGATCGGCAGCCGGCTCACAATGATGGAGTCATTGTAAATATTTGGGACACATAATCCTAATTTTTGGGGTGGAAGACCAGAATGTCCAGTTGTTCAGTGAGTCCTGGTTTTGACCCAATTTGGTAATTTGTGAGCTGTAAGGAGAACACAAATATTCTAATCCTCATGTGAGCCAGGGACCTTTGGACCGTCTTACAATGTCTGCTTTTAGTCACAAAGGAGACAGAGGCCTGAACCAGAATTCAGGACAGAGCAGTAGGGCGATGCTTAAACCTACACACTTTTTCTTTTTTTTTTTTTTTTTCCTTTATCCTCAGTGCTGGGGATCAAATCCAGGGCCTCACATTCTGGGAAAACACTACCACTAGCCACATCCCCAGCTCTACACACATTTAACCAGTTAACTCACTGCAAAAAATGAGGTATCCATTTTGTCTCCTATTTTGCAGGAGGATAGAATTTATTGCAGTGTATTAAAATTTCATTGTGGTGAAACAGGATGACCTTTTGTTGTTTTTAATAATGGCATTAGACCTGCGGGAAACTAAATCTGATGAGAAGTACGGCATTATAAAACAGAACAAGGGCCGGGATGCAGCTCAGTGGCTCCATGCCTGCCTCGCAAGCGCAAGGTCCTGAGTTCAGTCCCCGGTACTGCAAAAAAAAAAAAAAAAGAAAACAGAACAAAACTTTCATAATCTCCCTCCAGGCCTCCTTTAGAAGCACAGCAAATGGGAATTAAGTATATCTGTGCTTGCGCCCTGCCTGCCTGCACCTGTTGACCCCACACCCCATGTGGACGGTGGTCCGTGGTGTGTTGCTACGAATGCTGTAAGACGGGGCTCGCCACGCCGGCTGTGCAGCTGAAGGGTTGGTTTACATCAGTGATGCCCAACCTTTCAGAGACCAAGTGCTCAAACTGTGACCCCAAATCCACTTATTTACCGCAAAGTGCCAACGCTGCAATTGAACCTGAATGCACAACTGCTGGGCACTTGGCCCTCGTGCCAGTGGAGAGGCTGTGGTTGCCCACCACTGGTGGAAGTGATCTTCGGATTTCTCAAGCCCCAGAACGGCCCAGTGCTCTGTCCCTCTGACTTCCCAGTTTAATGACCTGTCGACAGGGAGCTCCCACAGTTGAGTCCTAGTGCCACGCCCCACGCCCCAAGCCGGGACCTGTCCCTTCTGGGTCTCCCTGGCCCTGTGATTCCCTTCTTTGAGCACGCATCTCACTCTCTGGGCCTGGGGAGAAGTATACAAGGACTTGGGACAGCCGTGCCTTATCCCGGCTCGAGGAGGGCAGTCTACTGTGGTTACTGAGCTTAATAACCAAGAGGAAAGCATTCATCTTTTCTTCCCAATTTGTGTTCCTCTTTCAGATTGATTCGTGGTGCAAAGATAATAGCTATGTGATTGCTGGTTATTATCAAGCTAATGAACGAGTAAAGGATGCCAGGTATGTGGAAGCAACCCCTCCCTGGGCTGGAAGGATGGCAAGGTGCTGCTGACCTTCCCGCAGGCCCCAGGCGCCATCTGAGGGCCACGTCCCTCCCCGTCTCCTCTGTGCTCGTGGATAGTATGAGAGCGCTGGTGTGGAGGGCTCCAGACCGCAGAGATTCTGAACATTTGTACTGTCCTCGGGCTTCTTTGTTATATCATCATTTTGCTCAAAAGATTTGTACAGTAAAAGCAGCAGTAGGGGCCTCACTTTCTGTCCCATCCAGCTTCCCCGTAAGTCCCGGTCCCAAACCTGGGTGAGGAAAGGCAGAGCTCGGCTCCTTCTAGGGTGAACAGCTGGCTTCTAGGCTTGGGCTCTTAGGCCTTGTCTTAAATCAGCTCCCTCGGGGTTCTCACTCGTGAGCAGAGCTGCAGGGCTCACCGCCTTGCCTGTTGGCATCCACCTGGGTCCCCGGAATACACAGAGACCGCCCAGGCCAGGGGAGTGGGCTGCTCCTGAAACGGGAGCCACAGCAGTGTGCAGGGGCCGCAGTTAGTGACAGCAGCCATTGTGGCCCTCGGCGCTTGCTTCGGGGCCAGCACAGAGGGAGCCAAGTACCAATGCACCTCAGAGCCAAGCAGGGAGGTCACACCTGCAGTTCCTGCACTCTGGGAGCTGGTAGCAAGAAGACCACAAGTTTGAGCCCAGCCTGGGCAACTTAGCGACCTAGTGAGACCCCGTATCAAAATAAAAAAATTGTAAAAGGGCCAGCGATATAGCTCAGTGCCATCCCTAGTACCAACCAGAAGAAAGCCCACCTCAAGAGGACTGTGGCTGAGGACACAGCCAGCGGCCAACCTGGTCGGACCTCACTTTAGAGGGGAGCCCCCAGATGGGCCAGCAGCAGACGTCCTCCTCTGCTCCCTCTCCTGTCCTCTGGGGGCTGCCTTGGCCAAGCCCAGCTGGCTCCCCGCTGTCAGCCCCAGGGTCCACGCTGCGGTACACGGAGGACCCTGGAGTTAGGCCACTCTCACGTGTAGACGACAGGGTGCACAGAGCCCCTTCCAGAAGGGGTGGGCTGGAGTGCTTCAGAAACACGCCTGTCTTGCTCCTTGAGGACTGGGTCCAGGCAAGGACCCCGCAGGGGTGAGGCGCGGGGCTCTTCCTGGAGCCCGATGGTTAGGTTAGTACCTGTTGCCCTCCTCGAGCACAGTGCTGGTGAGCCTGTCGGATTCCCTGCTCTGTGGGGTTGGTGAGGCCTGGGCCTGTGTGTGCCGCAGCTTTGTCGTCGGTGACGGGGGAGAGACTGACCGCGTAGGACGGCCTGCTGGTGGGCCGGGTGCCTCATGACAGTGCAGGCCGCGTCCGCCCGGCCTTTGGCTGAGCTCAGTGGGAAAGGACCGAGAAGGCCAGGGAGGGCGGCCTGGAGCCGGGCCCTCGGGAGTGGCAGGTGTGGAGACCCAGGAGGCTGCACTACTGGCTGGAAGGCAGCGGAGGAGGACAGGAGGGAATTGAGAGGAGGTGCGGCTGCACTCCCACCGCCCAGAGGCTCCAGCTGCCGGAAGCGATTTGCACCTGGTTAGTGAGTGCTGCGCAGGGTCCCACTCCCTCACAGAGGAGAGGAGACGGCCAGCGGGGGCATCTGACTGGGCTGTCTCTCCGTGCCTGTTTGGCTCATACCCTCTTTCTTCATCTTCCTGGCCTCCTTCCAGCTCGGCAGGAAATTTCCTTGCCACCCAGCGTGCTAGCATTTGCCTGCGCCTCTCAGGAGACTGATGGCCCCCTTGCGGCGTCTCTGCTGTGTCCTCGCCTCCCCTCGTCCCACCTGTAGGAAGGGAACGCTGGGGCATGAGCTGGGGGCCCGCCCCACCCCCTCCAGTGTGGCCCCCCTCTGGTGCACCGTGCTGCAGGGACACCTTGGGCTCTGTGCAGTGGTCCCTCGATCCTCCCCGCACACCAGTGAGGAAGCCTAGCCAGGGATGGGGATTGTATGCCCACTTCATCCGCAGTGCATTGGCTCCTGACCAGGTCCCCCACCCCCTCAGCCAGATCTGCCCTTTTCTAGAAGTATCACCAGATTAACCGTGTCTCCCAGCATAAGGTTTGGAGCCAGGTAGGGTTGGTTTCCAGTTCTCAGTTACTTACAATTGACCTCCTTGGGCCAGGTGTGAGGCCTGGATGCCTGGGAGAGCCCTGCCAGGTCAGGACGGAAGGACGCGCAGGTGTTCGCTTCAGGGCTAGCACTCTGGAGAGCAGTCCCATGAGTACATAACAAAAGAGAAAAACCAAGCAGTCGGTGTTCTGATGTGGAGTTTCTAAGTCTTACTCATTTCCTAACCCTCAGGAGACTCCTTGCGTGAGGTTCTAGCCTGTGGCTCCCTAGCTGCCCTTGCTTTGCTCATAACGAACCTTGCCCGAGGTTGTCCGAGGGGACGGCCCCCTCCCCAGCCTGTACCCAGCCCGGGGCTGGTGTGAGGCTCCAGAGAACGCTTTCACACACAGTACTAGAGAGCATTCGCATGAATGCCTGGCTTTGAGCTGCTGGGGGCCGAGGTCAGGAAAGTGCTTTCCCCTTCCCGGGCCTATGTTTCATTGGCTGCTGATTCTGGGAGGGATGGGATCAGATGCCACCCCGTAGGAACAAGTCTCACCTGGACGTCGTCGTAATAGGAGGGGCTCACATTCACCGGTGGAGACGAAGTGCAAGTGCACAATACAAAAACGAGTAGACGAAAGAGGCAGCTCTTTCAAACCTGGTGATAGTTCCTCATCCCCAGAGTTCTCTAACCTTTTCAGTGTGAAGTCAGGTGGGTCGCGGGCGCTCACCCTGTCCTCACCGCTCACCTTGGAGTGGGGGAGCCTTGTTCCAGGGTTGCGCTGCGTGCTTCCCTAACCGTGTGTGCCGCTGCCCAGCACCTGCCTCCCGCTGGACCTTGCAGCCCGAGGGCTGAGGGTGGAGCTGAGTGGGGAGCGGTGCGCAGCTGTGTGAGTAACTGACGCTGCAGACGCGCAGCGAGAGCCCACCGGGGACGTTGCAGGGCGCGCTTCACAGGTGTGCTGGATGACTCTCCTGTCGGTTTGCAAACAGCTCTCCCAGAACAGAACTCGTTCATTAGCAGGACTTGATCATTTGTTTCCATACTGTGATACTAATCTTTTTTCAGCCTAGTCACAAGGAAAGGGTTGTCATTACTGGCTATTAAAACATATGTGCAGGGCCTGAGTTCTATCCCCAGTACCAAATATATATGTGACGCAGTTCCTGGCTCAGAAAGCTGAAACTAGGGCTGAGGATTTAGCTCATTGGTTCCACTGTCTGCCTAGCAAGTGCATGGTCCCAAGTTCGATCCCGATACCAAAAAAACAGTTGAGACTAATTATGTAGAGAAAAGACACACAAGAAAGAAATCCACACTTGTAGACCCCTTGTGGGAGCATCTTGGACAACGCTCAGGCTTGGAGAAATGGTCCCCAAGGACATGCAGCTTGGCTCCGCCAGTCTTCACCATTGCTTAGGAATCCTGGCCTGGGTGGTAGCAGCTATGCTTCGTGGACGGGATGGGGTTGAATGGCAGGAACGGGAGTAGGTGGAGCTCACTGGTCCTTCTCTGCAGTCCCAACCAGGTTGCAGAGAAGGTGGCCTCCAGGATCGCAGAGGGCTTCATGGACACCGTGCTCATCATGGTAAGCCATGGCTTTGGAGGCCACCCTGTGGTGTCCCCAGGTACTAGGTCTGTGGTCTGAGCTCTACTGCAGTCACTCACGGGGATGTGGGCGGCTCTCGAGGTCCCCATCCCAGCAGCAAAGTCCTCTTGGGGGAGTGTGTAAGCAAGGCAGATTCAGCTGGGCACAGTGCACACACCCGTAATCCCAGCACTTGGGAGGCTGAGGCCAGCCAGGCTGCATAGTGAACTCAAGTCCAGACTGAGCTGTAATTCTTGCTTTGTGTAGGGAAACGCTGTGTCCAAAAAGAAAACAAATGCAGATTCTGAGACTCCTCCCCAGACCCACTGAGTAGGAAGTGCTGGGGTCGGGCGCAGCACTGTTTGAATGTGAATCTGCCTTCTAGATGGTCATGCAGCCCTCGCAGCCCCTGGAGGAGGGAGGGACAGAGCCTGGTCTGGGCTCCGAGGGAAGAAAAGCAATGCCAAGCCTCTGCTGTGGTGGGAAGCGGTGGCACGCTCAGTGTCACCCTGCACAGCACAGCCTGTTGCAGGCTACGCCCTGGTGTGTTCCAGCGCCAGCTCACACCGTGTCCCTCTCCTCGCTCAGGTGGACAACACCAAGTTCACGATGGACTGCGGCGTGCCCACAATCCACGTGTATGAGCACCACGAGAACAGGTGGCGGTGCAGAGACCCACACCAGTGAGTGATGCCACGGTCGCTCCCCAACTCCCAGAGGGGCTGGGGCTGTGGGGCTTCTGCGTGGTGGGGACCGCAGGTCTCCCCGCAGGCTCAGGCCCGGCTGGAGATGGCAGTGCCTCAGCCACCCGCCCCCACCTGCCGCACTTCACCAGAGGGCGGCCCGTCACTGTCACAGGTGAAGGCCCGCGTTTCCTGTCCGCACCGTCCTTCACCGAATGGTGTGTGCGGCCGGCCTCCAAGCTGCGGGCACAGACCCCACAGGAAAGGCTGACCTGTCGTGTCTGACCCACAGTGACTACTGTGAAGACTGGCCAGAGGCCCAGAGGATCTCTGCATCGCTCCTGGACAGCCGGTCCTATGAGACACTTGTGGATTTCGACAACCACCTGGATGACATTCGGAATGACTGGACAAACCCAGAGATCAACAAGGCCGTCCTGCACCTGTGCTAGGGGACCCGGAGCCGGCTCCTGGCATTGCCACCTCACCGGAGGGGAAGCCTGTTTTCCGTGGAGCGAGAACACGCAGCCTGTTGCAGAGCCGCAGCAACCTGTACCGGATCTGGGCAGGGCACGCGTCACCTCGATGCCAAGCGGGGCCGAGGAAGAGGTGCCAGCCCGCCCTGCGAGTTCTCTTGCGGTCATGCGTTGCTGTCCACTTCCACATCAGCTCTTTCTGCTTGTCCAAGATTGTTCCTATTAAAGTTTTAACTAACCTTTTATAATCTGGAGAGAATACTTTTTAAGGCTTATGAACTATTAAAAACCAAGCCCACATCTTATACTGCAGTGCGTGTGTGTATTTATGCTGGCTGAGTCGGGGTGGATTCGGAGTGCCAGCACCCAGGGGTGCCCAGCAATGCCCAGGGAGCGAGGTGTGGGTGTGGGAGGCGGCAGGTTGAGCCTGGGGAGTAGCTGATGCTGCTGTTGCCTGAGAAACCATTGCTATGGGCAAAACAAACATTTGTGGGGCGGGAGTGCAGAGCCGGGCCGGGACCGTGCCAGTGGGTTTGCAGAAGCTGACAGGCCTGACTCCAGAGACCCGCCCGCCAGAGGGTTCCAACCCAGGTCTTCCTCTAAGAGCTGCAGGAGGCTGAGACTCCAGTTGGCACAGAACAGCGTCTGCATTTTTATGCCTGGAACGTCTGGTCCAGTGTTCTGGCCTTGAGGGACTGATAAGGGAAGCTGCACTTGCCCCTCAAAGTCTGCCGGCCTCTGTGGACCCGTGTACTGGAGGGGACGGGCCAGTGCCCCAGGCAGCACAGCCAGCAGCAGGGTGGGCAGTGCCGTGGGATCCCTGTGCACAGCGGAGCTGGCCTCCAGTCCTGCCTCAGTGTCTTGCTTTCCCAGGAACACCTCCCGCCTTCCAGGTCAGATTCAGGACTGAGCCTAAACATCGGTTCCCTAGCTGGCGGGGTCAGACAGACTGGCACGGGCGTTAAATACTCAGAAGGGCCCATTTGTGAAAGACCAGGATGGGCCCAAGGGTGCGATGCCCTTGTAGTCTGTATACAAATAGCACTTCACTTCCGTCTCTGCCTGAGAACAGGCTTCCTCCTCCCCAGGGGTAGACAGCAGGCCTCTTTCATGGCCAACCAAGCTGTGTCCGTGCTGCAGCACCACCCTGTACTCATACGCCAGCTTCTGAATGAACCCTGAGCCTGAGCAGCGCCCCCTGTGGCCAGCTGTGGGCATGCTGGTCAAGTGCTCTACCCCTGGGCTACCCCGAGCCCCAGGGGGACTTTTTTAATCTCTATTCATTAAAAGATGAGGAGACAAAAAATGTGAGATAATGAAAACATGGAAATAAAGTGATTGTAGATGGGGAGGGGAGGAGGGGGTGACAGGAGGGCAGGGACAAGGGAAAAAAATGAGAACCAAGACCTGTCATGTAGAGGTACCAGAACCCAACAATGAATGTAACTGTACTGTATCCCTAAAATGTACCAATAAACTCAACTAAAGCTGAAAAAAAAAAGATGCGTAGGATGAAGTCTTAATTTACATTAAAATGTCATTTTCCTATACATTTTGGAAAGCTAGAAGGAAGTATTTCAAACGTTTTCTCCACGAAGACATGATAGATGCCTCTTCACACTTGGAAGGCCGAGCCAATAGGGTCGTAAGTCTGAAGCCAGCATCAGGACCCTGCTAACCACCCCCAGAGGAAGACCAGTGTTTGAGGAGACAGATGTGTAACCTGATTGAACCCTGACAGCACGTACATCTATTGAAGCCTCACCCAGTACTCCAGTAACACGCACAGCTCCTGTATTTTGTTGTGCCGGTTAAGTTTTAACTTCCTCATTTCCCATTTCTTTCTTTCTTTCTTTCTTTCTTTTTTTTTTTTTTTTTTTTTTTTTTTTTTTTTTTTTTTTTTGTTTCCTGGTACCAGGGATCAAACTCAGGACCTCGCACTTGCAAGGCAGGCGCGGAGCCACTGAGCTACCTTCCCCGGCCCTTAGTACCCATCTCTAATCATGGTGGCCTCTAGGAATTAAGGATATTAAATGGAAAAATAAGATGGCAACTTCATAACATAAAGAAAGGTACTAGGAAAACGTTGACATTGCTAATTCTAGTGAAATCTGATTGCTTTAGAACAGAAAACAGCTTAGAAATCTTGGGTAATTTAAATTTTCAGGTCAGTTTTCCACAGATCTGGTTTTTTAAGCCTCCTCTATAAAATGTCCTCATCTAATTAGCTTTGATTTATTTTAATAGCTTATTTTTCTGATGTCTTGGGAAACCTATTATTTCTGCATGTTGCATTTCTCAGCTTTTCACACCTACTCTCTGTGTTTTGCCTTCAGAAGACAAATGTGTGTTTGTGAAGCGTCGATGGCACGACATCACTCACACCATGCTAGCTGCTCTCGGCTGCCTGCTGAACAGAAGCAAAGATGCCAGAGTCTCCCCGGCCCTGTGTGCGTTTCTAGCAATTGCAGTGATGAGAACTGAGTCCAAAAATAGACGTCCGATCCACGGAGGGACAGGCCTCGAGGCTTCCCGTTAGCCCTCCCTTCACCTGAGCACTGGACTTCTCAGGTCAGTAAGTCCAGTGAGAAGCATCCGGGTCGTCCCGCCAACTCTCAGGTGTGTTAGCCTGACTTCACATCCACTCATCTCAGAATTCAGGGCTGTCTGTCTTCATCACTCTCATTGCTGAGACAACACCCAAAACCCGGAGTTAAAGGAGGAGGCTGAAGGTTTATTCGGCTCACAGTTTGTAGAGGTTTCAGCACATACGTGACTGGCTCCAAGACAGGGCGGCATCACAGGAGAAAAGCTCATGGTGGGCAGAAGGCAGCAAAGCAGTGAAGAAGTCCAAACAAACTTAGCGGCTTCTTTCTATCTCTTTTATGTCTGTCCTAGCTACTGTGCCAGACCAATCAGAGAGCCGATTTAGTAATCACACACTTTAGATCCAGCCACTTCTGAAAAAGCCCCGCCTGTGACCGCATGAGGCTCTGAGGGACATCTGGACACAGACCACAACCGAGGATAGCAGAACTTTTTGTTTTTCCTTTTCCACTACTTGAGATGAAACCCAGGGCCTTGTGTATGCCAGGCAGGCGCTAAGCTACACTCCAGCCCCATGAATACTTTTGTCCCCATAAAATTAACTTTTGACTTCTCAAAACACTCACAGTGTCCTGGAATGGAATGCAGAATGTGGTGAAGGCTGCTGTTCTACTTAGTGGCCGTTCATTCCCTTGGAGGAAGCAAGGCTCCCCTTCACTTCTCAGGGGAACCCCCTCCTTGCAAGTTTTTGAAAGCTACAACTAGACAAGTGATCTGAAGACGTTGTCCCAGAAACGAGAGACCTAGTCCGCCTTCAGGATGGCTAGGGACTGTGTTCCCCTTGGCCTTTTGCTGTCAATGCAGGGTGACAGGCACCAACTGAGCGCCATTTGGCCTGGAGCATGGGTCCTGTGCTGGGGCTTGTGCCACCTGTAAGCAGAACAGCACGCTCTCCTCAGTGCTGGCTGAAAAGCTCCGGACTCCTCAGCACGCCTGTTGTGTATTTGTGAAGCTCGGGGCAAGGCCATGCCCTCTTGGAGCCCACAGTATGAACATTGGCACTGGGCAGGTCGAGCTGCTGCCCGGCTTGCTGTGGGCTCCGGGCTCCAGGGTCACCTCCCAGCCCCTGCTCGCTGCGGGGTGAAGAAGCTGGACCTCGGTGGGGAACATCTCACTCCTCTGTCTTTGGTGCCCCTCCTGGAGGGGCCCCAGCTGGCCAGGCGCTGGCTCTAGCCATGTGGCAGTGGCAGCAGGCAGATCCTCCCCGGTTTGAGACCCAGATCTGCCCCGGGCAAGTTGCCTCTCCTGCCTCCTCTGGAGAGTGACAGGGTGATACCCCTCGCAGGGACACATTCAGTGCAGTGGGAAGAGTACGGCACTGGCACTGGCCTGGGTAGGACTCCATTCCCAGCAAGTTCTAAACCGCTGTCAGTTCCAGAACATTCCATCGGCCACACCGAGCTGGAAGGACAGGATCAGAGCAAACACAGCGTGAAGGTTTATCCGGGGTAGGGGAAGGATAAAATGGCAGCAGCTTACGTCCACCCAGCCCAGCCGAGAGGAGGAGAAAACCGCCCCGTGCCCACCACCGCATTCGCCTCCTCGTCACAAGCACAGTGCAGAAAATCCAGAGAAACTGACAGCACTCACCTCCACTCTTCCTTTGCCCCCCAGGAGACCCGTGTGAGTGAGGGAGTGGGAGGGGTCCGCCTGTGAGCATGGAGACACAGATGTCACTCCGTGGAGCGACAGGAAAGAGGGTTTCACGAGTCTTCCCGTCTTCCCTGGCAGCCTGCCTGTGAGAAGATCTAGTTGTTACTTTTTTTTTTTTTTAACATAAGTTCTTGCAGTTACCCAACCTGGCCTCAAACTTGGGATCCTCCTGCCTCAGCCTCACTTTTATCTTTAAAAGTCTAGGATCTGTCGTGTACTGTTCACACGAGGAGGCAGCTTTGCAGATGGCGTCCTTTCCTGCAGGGCTGTCACACGTCTCGAGCATCTCGTCCTGTCCCTTTGTACACAGGACGTGGCCCCAGAGACTCGTATCCATCTCTTGCTCCTGGAAAATAGCTTACCTCTATCACAAAGGTAGTGGCTTAGTGGTTTTTAAGTTTAACCCAAAAAGAAATGCAAAATGAAAAACAAAATCATCAGAAGGCCTCCAGCTTGTTGGAATATTCTCATAATCATCTCCACATGGTAAGAGTCTTTGATGTAAAAAAAAAAAGGTATCTGGGAACAGCTTCATTTAATGTAATTACTAATTACTGCATTATTTGGGCCCTCTGTGTCCAGGATCATGATGTTCCCGTTATCATTCTAGAGCCTCAGCTTCACTTTGGCAGACATGTAAGGCAGAGGTTTTTTTGCTTTTTATTTTTTTCAAGTAAGATGTGTGTGGAAGGGAAGCACCCATGTGGGAAAGGATGGGCGAGTTTTCCCAGCCTGGGGCAGCCCTAGAAGCCAGGCACCTGGCTGTGTGCAGCTCAGCCTGTCCCTGACGCAGCCTGCTTTCCCACTGTGCCATCCCCCTCTGTGACGAAGGACCCTTTTTTGGCCAGGACAGACACTGCTACAGTTATTCTTTCTTTTTTTTTTTTCTCCCGTACAGGGTGTGTTAGTTACTTTTGTTGCTGATACAAAATACCCAACACCCAAAGTTGGAGGGGATGGAAGTTTCAGTCCATAGTCAGCCGACTCCAAGGCAGAGATGGCAAACAGGCCTGGCAGAGCAGGAACAGGATGGCGCACACAAGGCAGCAAAGGTAACGAGCGTTAACAGCGTCTCCCCGCCCCTTTCGTCTGACTCAGGCTCCTTCGGGCGGGCAGCACTCACACCCTTAACCCTGGCGCCCCTGAGCCTGGCACTGCATCGTGAACCAGCGTCACACGCTCCAGATCCAGCCTGTGACCACACGAGGCCTCGGGACCGTCTAGGCCCAATCATGACACAGGGCTCAAACTCCGGGCCTTGCACAGGTCGGGCAAGCTAACACTGGCCTACATCCCCGACCCTTTTATTTTGTTTGCTGTACTTCTTCACCAGGTTTCCCAGGCTGGCCTCAGATTTCCATCCCCCACCTCACCCTCCCGAGTAGCTGGGATCACAGGCGAGTGCCGCGGTGCCCAGCTGCACTCAGCCTTGCACACGTACGTGTTGCCTCTGGGGCTGTGTGTGAAAGTGGCCTCCTGAGCGTGTGTGTCCACTTTGGGGAGGAGTTGCATCTCACGGAGAGGACCCCGGGTGGACATCTGTCAGGAATGGGTGAACAGCATGGGTTCTGCTGTGCCCACACAGCGCAGTATTACTCAGCCTGGAAATGGAGCGACACACTGATGCCCGCTGCAGCTGGGTGAGCTGGGGCCTGGACAGTTAGACACAGGAACAAAGGACCACACATGTAGGGCATGACCTCACCTGCACGGAGCAGCTGGACCAGACACATCTGAAGCTCCCAGGGCCACTGGGGAGTGAGGGGACAGGCACTGGCTGGAGGGACATGTGATATTCTGGGGGCTGATAGAGTTGTTCTGGAAGTAGTTAGTGATGATGATCGCCCAGTGTCGTGAATATACTAAAAAATCACTGTCTGGTACACTTTAAAACAGTGGCTTGTATGGTATGGGTTTTATCTCAATTTAAAAAGCAATAGTTGAAAGTCTGGCGTGTTGATGCATGCCTGTAATCCCAACACTCAGAAGGCGGAGGCAGGAGGATCTCCTGAGTGCAGGGTAAGCCTGAGCTACATAGTGAGACCCTGTTTCAAAAAACAAAAACAAAAAAAGCA